ACCATCACTGTACAGGAGCCCAGCGTGACCTTTGTGGTAGCGGGCAGGCCCATCTCTTTCCTTTTGGACACCAGGACCACCTACTCAGTTCTGAAGGAGTTTTGGGGACCGACCTCCCTCTCACAGTCCTCTATAGTAGGGGTAGAGGGCACACCTTATCAACCTTTACAAACTCCCATGCTTCACTGCATCTTTAGAGGCATTGCTCTCTCTCACTCCTTTTTGGTGATTCCCCATGGTCCCATCCCCCTTATGGGAAGAGACCTATTACACAAGGTTGGAGCTTCCATTACTTTTGCTCCTGGACCACACCTCAATCCTGACTCACCTTCAATCCCACTTTTACTCATCCTCCAACCTGCTGCAAACCCACCTCCCTCTCCTTTTCCTCTGCCACCCCATCTGGTCAACCCTGTAGTCTGGGATATCCTCACCCCCTCTATCACCACCTGGCCCCTAGTAATTATCAGACTTAAACACCCCACCTCTTTTCCCTCTCAACCTCAGTACCCACTGCCCCTCAAGAGTTTACTGGGCCTGCAGCCAATTAATCCAGGAACTTTTATACAAACTGCTACTACGGCCAGCCAATTCCCCTTATAACACCCTGATACTGGCTATCAAAAAACCTAATGGCTCTTATAGGCTAGTTCAACATTTAAGAATTATCAGTGCAGCTGTTATTCCAATCCATTCAGTAGTCCCTAACCCCTATACTTTATTATCCACTATCCCCACCTCTTCTACTTACTTCTCCATCCTTAACCTCAAAAATGCATTCTTCACGATTCTCCTCCATCCCAATGGGACCACTTACACCTTCAATTCCACAGGCTACAAATCCTCCAGTAAATTACTCTACAACCCAAACAGGACCTCCTTACAGCTGCATAAGGTGGCATATGTGTGCTACTCCAAGAGCAATGCTGCTTCTACAACAACAAATCTGGTCTCATCCGGGATTGCACAAAACACCTCTGTGAGCAAGCCTTCAAACTCCTAGAAAACTCTAACAATCCGTTGCCTTACCCCTTCAAGTGGCTCCTGCCCCTCCTAACCCCTATTACCTTTATTATTCTTCCTCTCATTTTTCTTCCCTGCTTCATTAACCTATTCCAAAAATTCATTCAAAATCAGATTTTGAAAATAAAATTTCTAACCATACTGTCAACCAGTTTATTCCTCCAGGGCTATCAAGGCCTTCTCACAAAGAATAACGAAACCAGCTAGATGACATAATGAATCATCTCAGGATGCCCACCCTTCCCCAACTCTACAACAATGGCCTCGCTAATCCCAGAATCTGTGCCCCCATCCAGCAGGAAGTAGCTAGAGAATGAGATTCTACACCCAGTTCCCCAGAGGACCAATTAAGAAAAGAAAAATATAAGAATGAAGGCAAATCCTGACATGGTGGGCTAAGACCCCCACCCCTTAAGATCCAATCACCAATGCAGAACACATCCTACCCCTACTCCTTAAAAATGCACTTCCTCACCCACAAGCTGCTGCTCCCTCTCTCTGGGGGCAGCCATTTTCTCTTTCAGATGATAAAATCTCTTGCATGGGCCCGTGTCTCCTGAGTTGTTCTGGGGTAAGGAGGGTCGCAGCGAGATACCCTTTCAATTTCTCCCTTTGACTGATTTTGGTTTTTAGAGGTATTTTGCCCCAGGATTTCCTATCACTGGACTTACACAGGGTCTGTGTCTAGGAGAACTATAACTGAGATAATGGCCCTCCTCCATTTTCTCCAACAGGTCAGGCTTGTTCCTGCTACAAGTCTTTTGCCTTTGCTATTTCTTCTGCTTACATGCTCTTCCTTCAGATGTTTGCATGGTTCATTCCCCTCTTTGTTCTTACCTCAGTTCAAAAATCACCTCAACAGATAAGCTCTCCAAGACAACTCAAGCTATCATAGTTCCACCCTCCCTTTCATTGTCTAACAGTTTTACTTTCTCTGTGACCTTTTCACTATCTTGTTACCTTATTAATTTACTTGTTCAGATGTTTGTTTGTTTACCCTCAATATTAGCTCTATAACAGCAGGCATCTTTTCTGACTTGTTCACTGCCTATCACGAGTGCAGGGCATTCAATGAGCAGATTATGAATTTCCACAATTTTTGGCATTGATGTTCATTTCCCGTAGCTCTCTGTCTCCTGATTCTCTGTTTTTAATCTGATACTCAGGATGCCACTAAGTTACTGCAGGTGGGCGTAGGGCCACCTTCCTACTGGTGGGTAACTCAAATTCTTCAATAAGATTTGTGTTTTTAGAAGTGCCATGAGTATATTTCAGTTGTCAATCCTTTCCTCTAAGTCTTAGTAATGTCTTTGATTTTCCTTTCACTTATTTGTGCTAAAAAATCCAAATTCACTTTGTTTCCTGCTCTCACCTTTCACACTTGCATACTAACAGTTGAGACTGGAAGTGTCATTCCCAGTCACTTTCTCCTTCAAATTTTTGGGTCTCTCTCTCTCACTATTATTCTTGTGTTGCTGATATGTCTGCTGTTGTTTATAGTGTCTGACTATACTATAGAGTCTGATATGGGCATTTGTCACATACACCCCATTTCTAGTTAAAGTCATCTTGATCAGATTGGAAAGTCTCCAAACAACCACATTGTTCTCTAGTGAGATGCATTGGGTTCTTAGCCAAAAGCCTATCATTCCAGTGTCTTAAGCCATCATCCAAGAAAGCAAATTTGTACAGCTCCAACCCTTCCTTTAATCTCCAGCTGCTCTGGCTACATCCAACCCCACACCTAGTCTTAAAGGACCTCTGAGCTCCCAAGCTTGCCCTACAGTCACTGAGATGTAGATAAATCCTATTTCCCTTGGTTCAAATGAGACAACGTAGAAATTTCTCAAAAGGAAATTTTCTAAGAAACCAAATTATAAACAAAACCAGAGAGAGAGAGGGAGAGAGGAAGAAAGAATACAAAAGCTTAGGAAAAGATGCATTACAGAGTCCCAGTTCCATATCCTGAGGTAACTATACTCTGACTGCTTGACTGGTACAGCTAAAACTGCACAAAGGAGAATATAATCCTTCACCATTTTCACAAAGAGGCAATGGGGATGGTAGGGAAAGGGCTTGCAGGAAAGCAGAACGAGTCTGTGTGTGTCTGGACTGATTCATTCCATGAAAATGGTACCTGAAGAAGTGTGTGAGCTGCTCCATCAGCTATGGGAGGGGCAGAAAACCCCATCTACCAGCCCGTGTTGTCCTGGAAGTTGCCTGAAACCTTGCTGAACTTGTTTATTGGTTCTGATATCTTTTTAGTGGATTCTTTAGGATTTTCTATGTGACAAGATCATGCCTTTTGCAAATAGAGGTAAATTTACTTCTTTCTTTCCAGTCTGTATGTCTTTTATTCCATTTTCTTGCCTCATTGCCCTAGAACTTCCAATACAATGTTAAATAGAAGTGGCAAGATTGAACATCTGTGTCTTGTTCTTGGTCTTAGCAGGAAAATTGTAGTCTTTCACCATTAAATATAATGTCAGCTGTGGGTTTCATGTAGATGCAGTCTCACTAACTCAGTGACCTGCACTTTATTGCAAAGCTCTGCTGTACTTTTTCCATTTTCTTTCTTTGTTTTATTTTTAGCTTCCTGTGCTCTTTGTAATTTCTAATTTAAAAAAATATCTAACTTGTCTCTACAGTGGTAAAGACATCAAGAGGGGACAGGCTTGATTTTCTTTCATTCAACTGTTCAACAAGCATTTATTAAGTGCTTACAATGTACCAACATTGCCCTAGATTCTTGGAGTACAACATTGAATAAAGTCCTTGTCCTCATGAAGCTCACATTCTAGTGATGAACTTAGACAATAAGTAAATAGTCAAGATAATCACAACAATAGATAAGTTCTGAGAAAGAAGAAGTTTGGATGCTGTGGGAAGGAGGGCCCCCAGGGCTACTTTGTAGTGAGAAGTCAGTAAAGGCTGCTCTGGGAAGGTGACATTTTCGCTGAGATCTGAATGATAAGAAGTGTAGGACCCCAACCTCCCTGAGAAATAAGTTAGCCTAAGAGTGGCCATCTTGAAGCCTAAAAAGCCATTCTGATATATGACTCAGAGGGAACAACTGAAACCAGGTAACTCCTCTGGAAAAACAAGTTAATCAATCATGACTGTTGGCACCACTAACCTCTCGGTTAGTTAATCATAAATACCGACCCTACTTTGCTAAATCACCCTAGCAGAAAAAGAATGATCTTATCTTGCTACACCCCCAGGACGTGGCGCCAACCCAGAAATCATAGGTTTGAAAAATTATTGCCTTTGTAGAATTGTTTTCTAATCTGTAACCATGGTAATCCTCTAGGGCTGAATGCCTCAGAAAATCCTATATAACCACTTAGTTGTAAGTGCTCAGGGTCCTCGTTGAGACCCGCTGCGTCGGGCTGACTTGGACCCCAGCTAGTTGGCTTCTGAATAAATTCCTCTTGCTTGTTGCATCAAGAAACGTCTTTGGTGAGTGATTTGGGGCGGCGCCTTCCTCAGGGGAATCCAACATTCGGGGGCTCGTCCGGGATCTTACGTCCACCCCGCTTCACTCCTGAAGTCGCTCTTGGAGGAAGAGGTAAGATTGGTGGCGCCTTGAGTTGTTGTTTGTGTTCTGTTTTCTGTTTCAGTGAGACCGGTCAGAATTCTGAAGGGTACCCGTTGTCTGGCAGCCGTCTCGATCCCGTAAAGGGGCCGAGACTGCGGTCGGTAGACGTACTAGAGCACCGCAGGCTGCAACCCTGAGGGACACCTCAGGGAGGTTGGGGGGCCAGGGACGCCTGGTAGCCTCCCATCTGTTTTTCTGGTAAACTGAACCTGATGAGATAGGGTTGATTTTTGGGCGCCGAGAATATCAACCCTCCGATTCCTTTCGGTTTCTGTTTGAGACTCTGAGGAGAACTAAAAGCGGCCGCTGTGTGTCTAATTTGTGTGTGCCTTTGTTTTTTGTGTCTTTTACGTATCTAATTGTTGTTATACTGACAATGGGACAGACAGTGACGACCCCCCTTAGCCTGACGTTAGATCATTGGACGGAAGTCAGAGCGAGGGCACATAACTTGTCAGTAGAAGTGAAAAAGGGACCATGGCAGACTTTCTGTACCTCCGAATGGCCCACCTACAATGTTGGGTGGCCCTCGGAGGGGACTTTTGATCTCCCCACCTTATTATCAGTAAAAGCTGTTGTCTTCCAGGATTCGTCTCAAGGACACCCGGATCAGCAACCCTACATTGTAGTCTGGCAAGAGTTGGTGGAGAACCCACCGCCCTGGGTAAAGCCCTGGGTGCAAAAGAAAATGGGCCCTCGAGTTTTAGCTGCCCAGACTCAACCTCAGAAAAAGGAAAAGGAAACTACCAAAGTTTACCCTGATACTCAAGATTTGCTTAGAGTTGATGATCCCCCTCCCCCTCCTTACCCTCCTGCCCCTATGGCACCCCCAGTGCCCCCAGCCCCGGCACTCCCAGCACCGCCGGCCCCGGCACCCTCAGTCCCTGATGCTGAGGCAGTGGGGCTGGCTCCGGGACCTGCCCAGGGCACCCGGCGCTGCCAAGGGGCCACCTTGGACCCACCGGGTATCTTTCCTCTCCGGTCTTATGGAGTTCCCATCCTTGGGGAAGAAGGGGAACCGCCTTTCCAACCTCTGCAATATTGGCCCTTCTCCTCTGCTGATTTGTATAATTGGAAAGCTAACCACCCGCCCTTTTCAGAGGAGCCGCAGAAACTAACTGGTTTGGTAGAGTCTCTGATGTTTTCCCACCAGCCCACCTGGGATGACTGTCAGCAGCTTTTGCAGGTGCTCTTCACCACGGAAGAGAGAGAGAGGATTCTCCTGGAGGCACGGAGGAATGTGCCTGGAACCGACGGACGGCCTTCGCAACTCCCTCATGACATAGAGAGGGGGTTCCCGTTGACTAGACCCAACTGGGACTTTAATTCTCCAGAAGGTAGGGAGCGACTAACCATCTATCATCAGGCTCTGGTGGCAGGTCTCCGTGGGGCCACAAGACGCCCCACCAATTTGGCCAAGGTAAGAGAGGTCAGCCAGGGAGCCACTGAAGCACCCGCAGTATTCTTAGAGCGCCTGATAGAAGCCTTCAGGCGGTATACTCCCTTTGATCCCAATTCTGAGGGGCATAGTGCTTCAGTGGCCCTTGCTTTTATCGGGCAATTGGCACCCGACATTAGGAAAAAACTTCAGAGATTGGAGGGCTTACAGGATTTGTCGCTGAGGGATTTAGTGAAAGAAGCAGAGAAAGTTTATCATAAGAGAGAGACTGAGGAAGAGAAGGAGTTAAGGAAAGAGAAGGAGAGGGAAAGTAAAGAAGAAAAAAGAGATAGGAAGCATGAGAGAAATTTAACAAAGATCTTAGCCGCAGTAGTAGAAAGTAAGGGACGACCGCCCTCTAGTGGTAGAACTAGTAAGGCAGGGTCCCTGGGCAACCGACCTCCTTTGGATAAAGATCAGTGTGTGTACTGCAAGGAAAAGGGGCATTGGGTGAAAGAATGCCCTAAGAAACCACCGAGGGTACCTCCAAAGAAGGTGTTGTCTCTGCTAGAAGATGAGGACTAGGGAAGATGGGGCTCGGAGCCCCTTCCCGAGCCTAGGGTAACTCTGAAGGTGGAGGGGCAGCCCGTTGAGTTTCTGGTAGATACTGGTGCTCAACATTCAGTACTGACCCAAGCTAGAGGCCCCCTTTCTAGTAAAAAGTCTTGGGTGTTCGGGGCCACGGGTCAGAAACAATATGCATGGACTACCCAAAGAACAGTGGACTTAGGAGTGGGACAAGTAAACCACTCATTCCTTGTTATACCGGAATGCCCTACACCCTTGTTAGGAAGAGACATCTTGACCAAAGTCGGGGCCCAAATATCCTTTCAGGCTGAAGATACCCAAGTGACTGATAGAGAGAAGAAACCCTTGGGCCTAAGCATTCTGTCCATAAAGTTAGAAGACGAGTACCGCCTTTTTAAGGAACCAGAACCCTCCCGAGTTAATCAGAGGTGGCTCAACCAGTTTCCAGGGGCCTGGGCAGAGACGGCAGGTATGGGACTTGCTGTAAACCAGCCCCCGGTAGTCATAGAATTGAAAGCCTCAGCCTCACCAGTAACTGTGAGACAATATCCAATGAGTAAAGAAGCCAGAGATGGAATTAGGCCCCATATCCAGAGGCTCATAGAGCAGGGGATATTAGTAAAATGTAAATCCCCATGGAACACTCCCTTGCTGCCTGTAAAGAAAGCGGGAACAGGAGATTATCAACCAGTGCAAGATTTAAGAAAAGTTAATAAGAGAACACAGGACATTCATCCCACTGTGCCGAATCCTTACAACCTGCTAAGCTCTCTGGCCCCAGAAAACACTTGGTATACAATCTTAGATTTAAAAGATGCCTTCTTTTGTTTGCGCCTGCACCAGAGTAGCCAACCGCTGTTTGCTTTTGAGTGGAAAGACCCCTCCACAGGAACTACTGGACAATTGACCTGGACTCGCTTGCCACAAGGATTCAAGAATTCACCTACCCTCTTCGATGAGGCTTTACACCAGGAGTTGGCCTTTTACCGAGCCTCCAACCCACAGGTAACCTTGTTACAATATGTTGATGACTTACTGATAGCCGCCCCTACACAGGAAGTCTGCCAAGCAGCCACTGAAGCCCTTTTGACTGAACTTGCTAAGCTGGGGTATAGAGCATCTGCCAAAAAGGCACAGATCTGCCAACAACAAGTGACTTATTTAGGGTATTCCCTGAGAGAAGGGAAAAGGTGGCTTACTGAAGCCCGGAAGCAGACTGTGACGCAGATCCCGGTCCCTACTACTCCGCGCCAAGTCTGTGAATTTCTGGGAACAGCAGGGTTCTGCACATTACGGATACCCAGATATGCCACCTTAGCCGCCCCCCTGTACCCCCTAACCAAAGGGGCAGCCCCGTTTGTTTGGAGACCTGAACAGCAACAGGCCTTTGATGAGATCAAGAAGGCCCTCCTGTCGGCACCCGCTCTGGCCCTGCCAGACGTGACTAAGCCGTTCGTCCTTTTTGTGGATGAGCGGAGTGGAGTGGCTCGGGGAGTGTTGACCCAGCAATGGGGACCGTGGAAGAGACCTGTCGCCTATTTGTCAAAAAAATTAGACCCAGTAAGTAGTGGATGGCCTGCCTGTTTGAGAGTAGTGGCGGCAGTGGCCCTCCTAGTTAAAGATTCTGACAAACTGACACTGGGACAGAAACTTACTGTAGTTGCTCCACATGCGTTGGAGAGTGTAATTCGGCAACCACCCGAGAGATGGATGTCGAATGCCAGAATGACTCACTACCAAACCTTATTCCTGAATCGTGATCGAGTAGAGTTTGCCCCCCCTGCCATTCTAAACCCGGCCACTCTGCTCCCCGATTTGGGGAAGGAAGTGCTTCATACCTGCCAGGAAATCCTGGCTGAGGAGACAGGCACCCGCCAGGACTTGCAAGATCAGCCCTTAGGAGGACCAGGACTTTTGACTTGGTATACGGACGGGAGCAGTTACATCATGGATGGTAAGAGAATGGCTGGAGCTGCAGTAGTAAATGATGACCGGATTGTATGGGCCAGTGGACTCCCAACGGGCACCTCTGCACAGCGAGCAGAACTCATCGCCCTGACTCAGGCCCTAAGGATGGCAGAAGGTAAGAGACTTAACGTCTACACTGACAGCAGATACGCCTTTGCCACTGCTCATATACACGGGGCTATTTATAGACAGAGAGGGCTGTTAACTTCTGCCGGGAAAGATGTTAAAAACAAACAAGAGATTTTAGATTTGCTAGAAGCCATCCATAGGCCTAAAGAAGTAGCAATAATACATTGCCCTGGACATCAGAAAGATGACTCTCCAATAGCTCGAGGAAACCAGAGGGCAGACCAAGCCGCAAAGCAAGCGGCTCAGGGAATGAACATTTTGCCCCTCCAAGTGTGTCCGGAAGCCACCCACATTAAGAGCTTCCAGTATACACCTGAAGATCTCGTTTGTATAAACAAATTAGGGTTCAAAAATTTCTCGCCCCAAGAGATATACAAGTCTGAAGAAGGGAAAGTTGTCCTGCCCCAGAGAGAGGCAGAGGAATACTTAAGGCAATTACATCAATTGACACATCTGGGAGCAAAAAATCTAAAAACCTTGGTTTGAGACTCCCCTTATCATGTTATTAGATTAGGAAAATTGGCTGACAAGGTTGTAAAAAATTGTGTTCCCTGTCAATTAGTAAACGTGAGCAAAAATCAAGCAATATCTGGAAAAAGACTTCGAGGAGATCGCCCAGGAGCTTATTGGGAAGTTGACTTCACTGAAATTAAGCCTGCTAAGTATGGATATAAGTACCTTCTAGTTTTCCTAGACACATTTTCAGGATGGACAGAGGCGTTCCCCACAAAAACTGAGACAGCTCAGACGGTGTCTAAAAAGATCCTTGAAGAGATATTTCCCAGATTTGGGATCCCAAAGGTAATTGGCTCCGACAACGGCCCTGCCTTTGTTGCCCAGGTAAGTCAGGGATTGGCCAAGATCCTGGGGACGGATTGGAAATTGCATTGTGCATACAGGCCCCAGAGCTAGAAAGGATGAACAGAACTCTAAAAGAGACCTTGACTAAATTGTCCATAGAGACTGGCTTATGTGATTGGTTAGTCCTCCTTCCCTTCGCCCTGTTTAGAGTCAGGAACACTCCTGGCCGGTTTGGACTAACGCCTTTTGAAATAATGTTTGGGGCCCCGGCCCCGCTTCAGTCAGCACATCTTCATACATTCCCTGAGTGTGCAACTAATAAGTTTTTGCTTGAAAGGTTACGAGCCTTGGAGGCTGTGCAGAAAGAGGTGTGGGCCTCCATCAAGGAAGCCTATCGGCCAGAGGACCTCTCAGTGCCTCACCAGTTCCAGGTGGGAGACCCTGTCTACGTGAGAAGGAACCGGACAGGAAACCTCGAGCCACGGTGGAAGGGACCTTTCATCGTCCTCCTGACTACTCCCACAGCTGTGAAAGTGGACGGCGTCTCTTCCTGGATACACGCTTCACATCTAAAGAAGGCACCCCCGTCGGACCCAGACTGGCGAGTAACTCAGACTGATAACCCCCTTAAGCTTCGCTTGTGTAAAAATAATTATGCTGTTAGTAATTCTGATGTTTCTGCTACCCCCAACCCACCAGAACCCTAACCCTCATGAATCCAGACTATTGACGTGCAAATTGTTACTCCGGCCCCTGATAGCCAGATGTTAGTTCAGTTGCAAGGCCAGCATCCTGTAGGAACTTGGTGGCCCACTTTAACGGTAGATCTGTGCACTCTCTTTAAACATGTTCTGCTTTCCTGCATGTCTAACCCCCTCAATACTGGACATGGGGGGTCTGGAACTGTCAAAGAACTTCAGAACACCTGTTTTTACGTGTGCCCAGCCCCAACTAGCAGTGCGCGAGTTTCCCAATGTAGTAGGAAAGAAGATTTCTTTTGCAAAAATTGGGGCTGTGAACAAACAGGGACATGTCGTTAGATAGACGGGAATGCCGGGAGCTCCCCTCCAAGCCCCATAAGAGTTAAAAGAAACAGTACTCAGACTCAATGTATGACCAGCTCTACCTGTAATCCTATTGATATTTCCTTCACTGAAGTCGGAAAAAGGGAGAGTTGGGAAAGAGGGCTCACGTGGGGATTAAGACTCTATCAGGAGGGATATGATAATGGAGTTATATTCACTCTCAGACTCAAAGTAGAGACCCTCCCGACTATTCCAGTAGGACCAAACGTTGTCTTACCAGATCAGCCTCGCCTCCCAACCCCAGCCCCGGAGAAGATCCTAGCTCCACCAACAAACCCTGTCATTCCTTCAGCTGTCCCCGTCTTTGCTCCTAGCCCACTGACCTTCTTTTCTAGCAATGGACAGCGCCTCCTCAACCTCGTTGAGGGAGCTTTCAGAGTCCTAAATGCCACCAACCCTAAAACTACCGAGTCCTGTTGGTTATGTTTTTCTCCTGGACCACCTTATTATGAAGGGCTGGGATTGTCAGCTGATTTTAAAAATACAACCAGCCATGAAATTTGTAGTTGGGGCAGTCATAAAAAGCTAACACTAACCGAAGTGTCTGGAATAGGAAAATGTCTAGGTACAGTTCCTGCCACACATAAGAATTTATGTAATGAGACCATCCCCATGATCCCCACAAGAGAAAACAGGTATTTAGTCCTACCACCCGAAGGATGGTGGGCCTGTAATACTGGACTAACTCCATGTGTTTCCACCTCTGTCTTCAATTTCTCTCACGAATTTTGTATAATGGTCCAGTTAGTACCCAGACTAATGTATCATGATGACTTAACATTCGTGGCAGAATTAGAACCTAGACTAAGGTATAAAAGAGAGCCAGTCTCACTCACTCTAGCTGTATTACTAGGAGTAGGGGTCGCAGCCGGAGTAGGAACAGGAGCAGCTGCAATTACACAAGGGAACCAACATTACGAAAGACTAAGAATAGCTATCAATGAAGATTTGAGAACTATAGAACAGTCTATTTCTAAACTTGAAGAGTCCCTAACCTCCCTCTCTGAAGTAGTACTGCAAAATAGACGAGGATTAGATTTATTATTTCTAAAAGAAGGTGGATTGTGTGCAGCTCTAAAAGAAGAGTGCTGCTTCTATGCTGACCATACTGGAGTAGTAAGAGACTCAATGTCTAAATTAAGAGAAAGATTAGATCAGCGAAAGCGAGAACGAGAAGCTAACCAGAGCCTGTTTGAATCCTGGTTTTCTAGATCCCCATGGCTTACAACTCTAATATCCACTTTGGCAGGACCCCTGCTTATTTTTATATTGCTCCTCACCTTAGGTCCCTGCATTTTAAACCGAGTAATAACCTTTATTAGAGAAAGAGTGAGTGCTGTGCAGGTGCTAATGCTGAGACAACAGTATCATACCCTCACACAACAAGAAGAAACCAACATTCCATGATTAGAATGTCCAGAAAGAGAAGTGGGGAATGTAGGACCCCGACCTCCCTGAGAAATAAGTTAGCCTAAGAGTGGCCATCTTGAAGCCCAAAAAACCATTCTGATATGTGACTCAGAGAGAACAACTGAAACCAGGTAACTCCTCTGGAAAAATAAGTTAATCAATCATGACTGCTGGCAGCGGTAACCTTTTGGTTAGTTAAGCATAAATACTGACCCTACCTTGCTAAATCACCCTAGCAGTAAAAGAATGATCTTATCTTGCTGCACCCCCCAGGACGTGGCGCCAACCCAGAAATCGGAGGTTTGAAAAATTACTGCCTTTGTAGAATAATTATCTTACTGTTACAAAATAATCTGTAACCATGGTGATCCTCTAGGGCTGAATGCCTCGGAAATCCTATATAACCCCTTAGTTAGAAGTGCTTAGGGTCCTCGTTAAGACCCGCTGCGTCGGGCTGACTTGGACCCCAGCTAGTTGGCTTCTGAATAAATTCCTCTTGCTTGTTGCATCAAGAAACGTCTTTGGTGAGTGATTTGGGGCGGCGCCTTCCTCAGGGGAATCCAACAAACTCAAGTGGGGGAGTCTGGATGAGGAGTCCTTTCAGCCTGAGACAAGATAAGGTTGAAGACATGGCCAGCACATGTTCCCTTAAAAAATGATCTTTTGTTTCCATAGTGGGCAAGTCTGTTGCCCTTCCCAGATATGGTAGCCCATATAATAATTCATAAGGAGAAAGTCCTAAATCCTTTCAGGGAGCAGTTCTAATCCTTAGGAGTGCTATAGGAAGACATTTAGTCCAAGGCAACTTGGTTTCTAATATTAATTTGGTTAAATGCTTAAGAGTCTGATTCATTCTTTCTACATTTCCAGAGGATGGTGGATGCCAAGGAGTATGGAAATCCCATTGTACCTGGAGTGCTATCATTACTCCCTGTAGTACTTTTGAAGTAAAACGACTCCCATTATCTGAATCAACATTTTATATTAACCCAAACCTAGGAATTACTTGCTCTAAAAGTACTGTAAGACCCAACGGCCTTATTCCAGTCTGCGCTTCCCCCCAGTGAGGAGATGAAGGCCACAGCAGATCGATACAACAAGCAAGAGGTTTATTATTATTCCAGCTAGCTGCGGTCCAAGTGTCTGCCCGGCACAGCAGGTTTCAACAAGGACCCTTAGCACTCAGAGCCAAGGGTTTATATAGCATTTTCAAAGCACTTAACTCATAGTAATTTTCTACAGCTGCACATTATTTTTGCTAGTCATACATCCTGGGGTTAAGCGAGAGCAAGATAAGACCACTCTTCAATTGTTAGGGAGGTTCTGCACGATAAGCTTGGTATGTAAGATCAGCTGACCAAGGTTAGCTGACCAAGGTTCACAGCTGCCCACCACCCGGTGTTCATGATTAGCTTGTTTTTCAAGGCCTTACCCAGTTCCAGTTTTTCTTTCTAAGTCACATACTCAGAAAATGGCTTCTAGGCTCTTAAGCTGGCTATGCTTATGCTAACCTATTTCCATTCTTACAGTACCTTTATCACTGATCCTGCTGTTGCAATTATTAATGGGTGGGCCTTGCAATTGTTAATGGGTGGACCTCCACCCATCCAGTGAGATGGTCAACAATCACTGATAAATATTTAAGCTTCCCAACTTTTGGCATCTCAGTAAAGTCAATTTGGATACTTTGGAGTGGTCTTATTCCTGGGGGGTCTCCCTCCAGGTACTGGCTTTTTCATACACTTCTTAATTCTTTGGCACATTATGAAACTCCTATAAACCTTTTCAGAATTGGTGTGAAATCATCACACATCACCTGGGGACCCCAGTGGCTCCTCTAAGATGTGTTCATCAGCTCTCTCATAATAGGTCAGCTGATCATTTCTCTCCCATCTGGTAAATCTCCCATCTCCACCTCTCTTTCTCATCTCAAGATGCCCCCACCTCCTGTAGCTTCTTAATTTCCATTTCTTAAAGAAAACTTTGTGATAAAGGAAATTTTAAGGATATTAGTTGTGATATTTAAGTCTAATTTCATCTTCAGTTGCAGCCTCTTTAGTGGCTGCATAAGCAATTCTATTACTTGTTGCTACATAAGAATTTCCTTTCTGGTGACCATTCACATGCATTATAGTATTTCACCTAGAAGTAAAAGATTTTCCAGAACCTCCTTCATTAATTCCCCATGAATTAATTCCTTTCTGTTACTGTTTGAGACCTCTTTCTGTCCAAATTTTTCCAAATGTATAGACTACCCCGAGTCTGATATTCTATGAGGTCTATGTAACTATGGCTCAATTCTGATTGGCCTTCAGCCTCCCTGCACATAAGAAGCTGGTGGGATTGAGACAGGTGTCTGTGGTTAAGGTCAGGTCTTCATATCTTAAAATTTGAGAATCTATTAGCCAGCACCCAGCCCACTGATTAAATAGGTATGGCCCGAACCAGGTGAGGAGTACTGACCATGAGGGTCCAAGATAGGAGCAACTTGGCCTAGAATGTTTGAATATTCCTCAGATAAATGCATTCAGGCCATCCTTGAGAGACAGGTTCTAACAGTTCAGACATAAAGGCCATTGGTTGTTTCTTTCCTCCTCAGGCTTTGGTCAAAACTGTAAGATAAATTCTAAAATGTAAGATAAATTCCAACCAAAATAAGCAGGCAATGAGAGGCAACAAAGGGCCAGGCAGTTTATTTGAGTGCAATTCCTGGGTGATGTTCCCCGGTCTGGGTATCACATGCTAGGGAAGTCATGCTCAGCAGGGCAGGGAGAAAGTTTTTAAAGAAGGCAAGGGGAGGGAGAGCAAAGGTATATAGTGGCATGAGGATTTGCTCACCTAGCATACATGGGGGTCTCTCATTGGCCTTTAGCCAGGTACTGGAAAGTTACTACTATTCTTCTAGCTTGGGGAATGGCTCTAGTTAGGAATATTGTCCTATCAGGCCCTGGAATGTTGTCAGACTGGAACCTGTTGGTCTCTTTGCCTTGTTTGGTGAGGCCTGAGCTTGTCCAGCAGGCTCACCCCTTCCCCTGGCACCTCCAGCCTTACAAAAACCCCTATAGGGAACCTTGTTCAACAGTAACAAACTAGTGAAACAGCTTCTCTAAAGATGGAAGTGCCAGGACTGGGGCTGTGACTAAGGATTGCTTTCAATTCCCCTAGAATTTGTAGTTTCCCTGGAGTCCATTGGAGATGGTCTGCTTCTCCCTCTAACTATTTGAAATACAAACTTCTAGCCTCTCTTCTAACAAACACTTTTTGAGCTTCTCTCAGTAATTCCTTTATAGATGTCTCATTCCATCCATCTAAATTCTGTAATTTCTTAGCAACCAACTTTTGGTTACAAAATTGACTTTTAAAAGACCCTGTTCTACCTGAGCTTCTGGGTCAAGTCGTGAATAATTTCTCATCTGGCCCCTGAGTGTCTGTGAAAATGCAGTTAAGGTCTCTTCCTTTTACTATTGGACCCCAACTTCCTTAGTAACATTTTGAGATCTTGGGGCTGATTCTCTAATTCTCTTTATAATTAGCCCTCGAAGATCCTGCATTTTAGTTCTATCCCCTAGATTATTATCCCATCTAGAATCCATGTTTGGGAACTTTTGTTCTGCTGACTCGACCCCCTGGCCCGGTGGGTGTTTTTGTTCCCAAATGGACAAGCAACTCTCCTGATCACCCCTCTCTCACCACCAGGGAGTAAGATATTCATGAAGGACATCAGTTCAACTTAAGTATATATATATTAGGTCCCAGGAATTGACCTAATTGGTCCACTAGGCTGTGAGAAACATTCACTGGTCCAAATTCAATAAGTGGACATGGAGACAAAGAGAACAGCAGAGCGAGGCTTTAATGACAGTCCTGCAAGATCAGGTGTCTGGTGGGCAGCCACACCTGGGGAGTTTGGCGCCAATAATTTATCTCCTAGTACGTGAGTCCCTCCCCTGGTTCCTCATTGGCTGAGTACTACAGGGTTCACATTCTTTCCCGGATGTCACCTAAGCCA